ACATACAGGCAGCAAGGACTTGGAAGGAGGTAATGTTTACTCCTTTATTTCGGTGCAAATTATCAAGTGAAGTCACAGGACACGATCAGCGTAGTGTTCTCCACTACTAAAGCTGTAGCTGCTCTTTGTATTGCGGTGTTATTCGATCGAGGAAGGCTCAGATACGACGACCTTGTATCAAGACATTGGCCAGCATTTGCTAAGAATGGAAAAGCAAATATCACCGTTGAATGGGTGATGTCGCATATGGTAGAACATTTAGTAGACTAATTATCGACGAAATCATTCTAATTACACTTATTTTAGTCAGGTCTGTATTACTTTGATGAGCCTATCACTAAAGAAATAGCTGCAAATCACGATTTTATGAGAAAGTTGATCGAAAATGAAACACCCAAATTCCCACCAGGAACCAGCTTTGGTTATCACGCACTCGCTTTTGGATGGCTCGTCGACCAAATTGTTAGACATACTGACGAGAAGAAGCGAGGGATTGGCCAGTTTCTGCGGGAGGAGATTACCGAACCAAACGGTATGGATGTGTATTGTGCACTTTAAACATGAAATGCTTGAAACTCAAAGATCCCTTGCATCTCCAATCGAGTGGGCGAAAAAATCGATTATTTTTTCATAGATGTGCAGATTTGACACTGACATTTGACCCTCGCAGCACCACTAGCACTAGTTTCTGCTGTGTGCCACAAGAAAATGATAACGGTAGATAACGTAGAACTCTTTGAGATTGTAACTGATATGAGGATGAGCGCTACAACCAATTTTAATGCTGGCTTGAAACGTCAGCGGTGACTAGGGATATAACAATCCTCTATTCATAGTCGACGTCTCTCCATTATCGGCTTCTTCAGAGCCGCCACTTCTGGGATGCGAAAACCAATGCATTTCGATCATTTTATGTAATATTTGGCTTGGAATTCTAATCTGACTCTGGTACTGCAGATTTGTTATCTTAGGCTTTGATCATGGTTTCTGAGAGAATTGATACATTCAGTTTTTTCGGTTCGGACGATAGAGCCTAAAAGTAGGCTTTGATATCGAGTTATCAATATCTCTGTCAAATCGCTCAAGAAGTCTCTATCAGCTACACGATCAAA